GGGGGAGGGGCAGAGGGAAAGAAAGAAGCAGACTCCCCGCTGAGCAGGGAGCCCGATGTGGGGCTCCATCCCAAGACACTGAGATCATGACCTGAGCCAAAGGCAGATGCTTAACTGACAGAGCCGCCCAGGCGCCCCTTCAAGGAATGTTCTTGTCGGATAGTTCCAAGCATGACCCCAGTGCCTTTATTCAGCAAATTCTGAGAATCCACTCTGTGCCAGGAAGCTGCTGGGCACTGGGCATCCAGAGTTGAAAAAGGCATGGCCTTTACCCTAACAGAGCTAGCCACCTTGTTGGGGAACCCAGGGAGCCCCTGGGAACCTGAGGGACAGGGTCTCCCCCACGGGGATGCAGGGGCCAGCCAAGCAGAAGACATATCCCCACATCCCCTTCCCTGGCCTGTAGGTCATCATTTTGGTTTACTCCTTCCTCCGGAAAGCTGCGTGGGACTACGGGCGCCTGGCTCTGCTGATACACAATGACAGGTGAGGGGGGGCTGGGGGTCAGGAGGAGCGAGCGGCTTGCCTCCTCGGGGGATGTGCCTCCATAACTGGGACCCAACAGGTGTCCTCTCGGCACCCACTCCAGCCCCTGCGCTGGCCCTCCTCGCAGAAAGAGAACTTGGTGGGGAAGGGCAGTCATCTCTGGGCACAAGGCCACTTTTTTCTCGGATCTCAGACTTTCTGGATCCCGTGACTCCCAAGATACATTGGGCACCTGGCAACAGGGGTGATTACTGTCTGTCCCCAGAGCTGTGTGCTCAGGTCCTGGACAGGAGGGTGTCTGGTCCTGGACAGGAGGGTACTGCAGCTCTCTGCCTGGGAGCCAGAGGGACAGCAAGCCTGAGGCCTTTTCTCTCCTTTTCTGCCTCCCTGCTCACTGCTTTTCCTGGCTGCAGCTTGACCTCACTGATCTATGGGGAGCAGAGTGAGAAGACATCTCCCTCGGATATTTCTCTGGAGATGGAGCACAAGGACAAGGTGAGTGCTTGGGTGGGCCTGGGCCCAAAGGGTTCCTGGCCTGGAGCCCAGCCGTGTGTCGAAAGGAGCATGCTCACACTCAGGCTTTGCAGCCAGCGACACCCGGCCTGGCCATGTGACCTTGGACAAATTCCTCAGCCTTGCCACGCCTCCGTTTCCCCATTGGAAAGTTGGAGCTATTCACCATTCCTACCTCCAAGTAAGAGTTAGTTAATTCTATTATTTTAGAGGGATTTTTAAAACTAATTTTCCTGCTCTTCTCAAATCCTCAACCCTCGTCACAGCCCGCGTCCTGCCCAAGCCCCACTCTGAGCCAAGGACTCACCTCCTACTTCACATAGGAGATTCCTCACATGAGGCAGGGATTCCCTCAGCCTCCTCCATCCTGCTCCATGGAGCCCGGTCTTCTCTTCCTTCTCGTCCCTGTCGGATGCCAGTAGTCCACCCAAGCTTGTTCATTTGCTCAGCCAGTTGCCCTGGTGCACCTGCTGAGGGCCACTGCTGGTCTGGGGACTGGACAGTGAACAAAATGGACCAAGTCCTGCTTCATGGGACTTTCTCCCTGTCTGAGAGACACCCAGACAGATGCACACAGGACGGTGGTCAGTGCATGAATTCCAAAAGGGGCAAAGAAGGCAGGCCACAGTAATGGGATGGAGCTGGAGTGTTGCAGAGGGTGTCAGGGACGGTTGTGGGCCCCGACACAGCCCACAGCTACCTGTGTCCCTCTGCCCCATCACAGCGAAACTGGAAGAGTCGTCTGTACCTGCGCTCTCCACTTTCCCCCTCACTCCTCAACCCCTGTAATGTGGCTTCCGTCCCTCCATCCCACCCAGACAGCTCATCAGTTGCCCCACGCCATGAAATCCGATGGACTTTCCTGAATTCTCATCTCATCTGATCTCTCAGAAACATCCAGCCTTATAGACCATCTTCCCCTCCTGAACAGGCCCTTCCAGTTGCTTCTGTGACACCACACTCTCTGGGCTTCCCTTCTGCCACTCCATCTGTTCCTCTCTGTCCCCTCTGCAGGCTCCTCCTCCACAGCTGGAGTTTCCCTCAGTGGGTCCCAGACCTCCTCCTCATGCTCCTGGGCAGTGTCACCCACACTCACGACCTCAACTGCCACCTCTCCACAGACCCTTCCTAAATTTCCATCTCCAACTAAACTTCCCTCTGGGCTCCAGGCACATTTATCCAATGGCCTTCAGAGTATCTCCCCATGCATATTGTAAAGGCATTTGGGATTCAATATGTCCGAAACATGCCACGCTGTCCGTCCACCCACCTGTTCCTCTATCCCTGGTCTCAGACTCTGCCCACCACCCACCCAGGTGCACCCCCTTGGTGTGGCCCAGGCCCCCAGGCACAGCCAGTCCATTACCGAGTTATATTGCTGTCACCTTCCCAGTCTTGTTCCTCTCCCCCCACCCCCCAGTCCAGGCCCCCGCTGGTCTCTTGTTGGATGACCAGGGTGGCCTCTAACGAATCTCTGTGTCCACACTTATGTCCTGCCCCACCCATTTCCTACCTGCATTTGGAGCGATCCCCATGAGCGGGGACACACATTCCCCTGTGTAAACCTTCACTGGCTTCCTAGTGCTCTTGGAATAAAGCGCAGATGCCTTGCGTGGCCTCGTGCTTGGTCTCCCGCCAACCTGTCCAGTTTGTCCTTCTCCTCCCAAGTCCCCATCCCTGGCCACATCGGCCACCTTTTAGATCCTCAAAAGTGCCACCTCCTTTCCTCCACAGGGCCTTTCACCTGCTCTTCCCTGTCTCCCTTTGCAGTGGCCCCCGCTCAGGGCTAACGCACTGACCGTTCGTTCAGATTTCAGCCCCCGCACCACTGCCCCGGGAGCCCCATCCACCCCACGCGGGACCGGATCTTTTGTCCTCTGCGCACGGAAAGTGCATTCCTTTTCTTCAGGGCTCTTAACCCAGTGGGTAACAATCCCTCATCTACCCAATCGGTCCCGTGCGTCTGACCAGGTCTTGCCCGCCACTGTCCCCGCACCCAGGCCAGCCTGCCGTGTAATTAGCATCTGATAGGTATTTGTTGGAGGCAGTGAGTGAGTAGAACCATTTTCCTTCCCCTATCATCCTTCCAAGAGACCTGGTCCCGCTACCTGCCACGATCTGCCCCAAGCTGTGTGGTGAGCCGCAGACCAGTTTGTGTCTCAGAGTTTCTCCGTAGAATAAGGACAGTCACACCTGCCTTACAAGGTGGTCCTCAGCTTTATTTTCAGAAACATTACTTTGGTTGGGGTTTTTTTGTACAATGGCACAAAGATCATTTATTTTAAAAAGATCTGAGACATCATGAGGGCGGCAGTGGGCAGTCACCCTGCAGAGCTGGAAATGAGGCAGGCAGGGAGAGTGGGAGGCGGGGAGTGGCCCCTGGAGCGCCCCAGCCGCAATCCCGGGACCTCAGCCAGCCCGAGGGGCCTGGGGACAGCAGAGGGGTCATTACCCCCCGTGGTGGGAATGAGGAGGGTGGGGCCACCAAGAGAGGTGCAATGAACTGACCACTGTCACAGGCCTTGTGCCCCAAGCTAGCCCCTGGTTGCTTGTGGCCGTCGCCTGCAGGGGTGAGGCAAGAGGGCACGTGGCATCCCTTCTCGGGCCTGCTATTCAGCTGCTAAGTTTGCTGAATGGTTTATGCCTTTCGTAGCTGTGATGTACATGCGGGGGGGGGCCTTGGGGGGTCTGTTGTCTGTGAGCCCAGAGAGAGGTAGTCCACACGGGCTCGCGGCACATCCGGGTCTGTGCAGTTGTCATGGTATGGAGGCCACACTCTGCCCTTTGACGGACAGTCCTGTCCTGTGGGAATTCCAGGGCGCATGCTTGCCCTGTGTGTTATCCCCCTTGGCACCTGCCGTAGAGGGGGTGGAAGGGGTTCCCAGGAAGGTGTGTCCTCCACTGTGCACGACCACTAGGGACTGTCAGCAAACCTACTTGCTCCCTAAATAAATCACACCCATTTGCCCAAAGGTAGGTGGTGGAGAAAGCCCCTCCCTGGCAGGGAAGGGTGGTCAGACTCTGCCCAACTCTTACTTAGCAATTCACTCGTTCCCTGGGGACATTCCCAGTCAGTGCCACCAGTAAGTTATTCTCCTTCTTTGCTTTGACTCATACCTGGGCATCTGTCCTGATTTTATCTATTATTTTTTGGGGGTGGGGCAGAGGGAGAGGGAGAGAGAGAGAACCCTAAGCAGGCTCCGCGCCCAGCGCAGAGCCCGACATGGGGCTCGATCTGACGACCCCAAGATCATGACCTGAGCCAAAATCAAGAGTCTGACGCTTAACTGACTGAGCCACTCCCCCCTACCCTTTTTTAGAGAGTGTCTTTATCTTAGTTCCCCAGGACAGAACTGGGGAAATGGTCCCCCCCTGAGGTGGACATCTGACTTATTAGGCAACCCCAATCCAGGGAAGGAAGCAAAGAACTTCCTTCTGTTTCTTGCTTGCCTGACTCCCCATCGCTTCCTTTTGGGCAATACCCCTTCCCCAATCAGTGTGGTGCCAGGGAATGTCAGCCAGGTGGGCCTGCCTGTTTCACTGATGTGCTTGTGATCAAATGGGGTCAATCAAGAATTGCAGCCTTTTCCCAGATTTTGCTAAATCCTGCAGAATCCCAGAAGGAAGCACACACCAGGGCAATTTAACCAGCTACCAGATCTGGCAGCTTTTAGGGCCATGGGCCCCAGCCTATCCTCATGCACACTCTTTCCAAGCACACGACCTCTCTAGGCCTCCCACCCCTCCACCACTGAGGCTGCCCTTCCCTACCACCCAGAAACCAGACAGCAAGACCCTGAGAGAAAGACATAATCGGCAGGACTCTCAGATGTAAGAGAAGAAACCCAGGGCGCCTGGGTGGCTCAGTTGGTTGGGCGACTGCCTTCGGCTCAGGTCATGATCCTGGAGTCCCGGGATCGAGTCCCGCGTCGGGCTCCCTGCTCGGCGGGGAGTCTGCTTCTCCTTCTGACCCTCCCCCCTCTCATGCTCTCTCTCTATCTCATTCTCTCTCTCAAATAAATAAATAAAATCTTTAAAAAAAAAAAAAAAGAGAGAAGAAACCCAGCTCAAACTAGGTAATATGTGGCTTGAGTCAGGGAAAATTAAAGAGAAGTGGCTGCCTTGGGTACAGGGAGATCCAGGGAGTCCAGAGATAACACCAGGATCCCCCCTCCGGCCCTCTGTCCTCTGAGCAGGCTATTTTTCTCAGACAAGCGCCTGCCTGTGGCATCAAAGATGCCACCAAGCCCCTGCAGGCTCCATGGTGTTCACCAAGGTGCAGGAGCTCAGGTGGAGAGAGACTCCCTCTCCCGAGATCCCCATCAATCCCCCTAAGAGAATTTTGATTGGCCCCACTTGGGTCATGCTCCCATTGACCAACTGACCACTGGTGGCAGACCCCTACTTCATGGACAGCCCACCAGGCCATATGCATGGGGTGGGGGGCATTTCCAGAAGGAAGCAACGAGGGACAGACAGAAAAGCAGCCGATGTCCACCGCACAAAAAGGATCCCTTCTCTCCCTCTGGTCCAAGGCCCACAAAGCCCCCATTTCCTGTAACAGGATGCCACATGGCAGGAATGTGAACTCACAGAAGTCTGGGGAGACTTCTTCCTGGACAGTCACCACAGATTCCAGTTGGAGCCCACTTCCTTCCAGAATCTGAGCTCTTTCTCGCTGCCATCTCTTGCCAGGAAGGAGACCCCTATGGACGCTGCCTGGGTTCACTCAGCTGGAGGGCGGGCCTGGGGCTGGATTTTCTCACATGTTCTCTCCTTTCTCCCCAGGGCTTCTATTCCTGGTTCTTCAACACAGTCACCATGAAGTAAGTGCCTGAACTTTCTTTTTTTTTTTCAACTTTTTTTTTTTAAGATTTTATTTCTTATTTGTCAGAGAGAGAACACGAGCAAGAGCAGGGGCAGGGGCAGGGGGAGTGGCAGCAGGGAGCCCGATGCGGAGCTCGAGCTTGATCCCAGGCCCCCAGGATCATGACCTGAGCAGAAGGCAGACACTTAAACTGACTGAGCCCTATGCAGGCGCCCCTTTGTGCCTGAACTTTCTGAGCTTGTGCTGGCAGCTGCCTTACTTGGGGGAAGATGGGAGTGGAGCCTGCTGCCCCGCAGGTCTGGGCTGGACCTGAGTTCTGTGCCCCACCCCCCACTCCCCCTGACCACTTCAGCCCTGCCCAGGCAGAGCAGGCCCTCTGGGGTTCCGGGGGGGAGGGGGAGATGGGAACTGGACATAGCCCACAGCCCTCAGGAAGGCACCACTTAGTCACGCGTACAAAAACACTTTTATGAGCTCCACCCTAGGAAAAAAGTTCTTCCTGCAGTGCTCTCTGCTTTATTTCTGTGAGCATCCTTCATCATACTGAAATGGGAAAGAACACAGCGGGCAGAAGGGCTCAGCCTTGATAACAGAGGGACAGCCCCTTGCCCACCCCACCTCCTGGATCTCTTTAGGGCCGGACCCCAGTTGGCAGGGAGACAGACCCCAGGTCACCTGTTTCTCCTGATTCCCCCGCACTTCAGCATTCTGACTTCCCGCTCCTGATTCCGCCCCGCTTCAGCTGGGCACCTTCCAGGGCTCTTCCAGCTCTCCGTGCCCCCACGGTGTGTGTGTGCATGCTTTCACGTGCACACACACACACGCACACTCGTGCCTGTGCACACGGCTCTGCCGCCACCTCATAGCCCTGCACATTCCTGGGCACTCCCTAAATATCCCCCATCTGTCCTGCCCTGCCCATCTTCCAAGCCCCTCCTCCAGGGCCCTTTCTTGCCTGGTGCCTGCCTTAGGGTGCAGCCTCGCGGCCCATCCGAGGCCACCTGCAGCAAGGGGCCGGACTGGGCCTGCTAACTTGCTTTCTTGGCAGAGCCTCCTAGAACTTCCTCCTGCACGCCCACCAGTCAAGGTCCTGGCTGGGAGCCTTCCTCCATTTTCCCAAGACCCCACCTCACCCCCACGAGCCACCTCAGGGCGCCTCTCTTTCTCCAGACCTGCTGAGTGGGGCAAGGGCACTGTGCCTGGGCCCTGGGAACCCTGAGCTGGGCTTAGGACCATGAGCCTCTGGTGTCTGAGCTGCAACCCTGCTGATGGGGGAGTCCCTGTGGCCTTGCCCCCAACCCCCACCCCCCACCCCAGTCTACCTTCATCATTCATCAGGGTCCACCGGAAGTGATACAGCTAGTTTGTGTGTGGTCCGGGGATCTTAGCCACACGCAGGGGAAGTGGAGGGGAAATGGTTTATCTCTTGGCACCTTCTCTGGTTTTGCTTTGGTAATTTTTAAGACATGCACAAGCTCACATTAAATATGTTTTCATTCAGAGAAACATGAAAGTCCACCTCCAGCCCTCCTCCGGAGACGCGATCCCTGTCAACAGTGTTAGGGAATCTTACTTTTTTTCCCCTTTAAACAAGCATTTACTGGAAAAAAAAAAAAAAAGTGGTGTTTTTTTTTTTTTTTAAAAATGACCACTAGGGTGTATGATCATTTGGAGCTGGTGACCTCAGGAGGCTGTCCGGGCTGGCTCTAGGTTCCTAGGTTTAGCAAAGTCATGAATGCTGGGCAGGGGCAGGGTGGCACGTTAGCCAGCCCTTTGCAGGGGTGAGAGGGAAGGAATCCCAGGGCGCCTGCGCCTGTCTGAGCTGACCATATCCTCAGTCCTGAGTAGCTTGAGGCTGACTTTCTGGATCTTCTCTGCCATCTGCTGACACGTCGATGGGTGTATTCAGGGTGGGGAAAAATGTGTCCGTGTTGCAGGAGAGAAGCGTAAGACTTCGGGTGGTAGGTGACTCTGTGGTGTGCGTGCAAATATGAAATAAAAGAGGCACATCGCTACATTGGTGCAAATCCGCGTGCAGCTGTTCAGGTGTGCGTGCCCGGACCTGCAGGTCAGGGGAGGTCAGTGTGCGCAGTGTGTGTGTCTGGGTGAGGATCCTCTTCCCCCTACCTGACTCCACCCAAAGGCTCCTCCATTGGGAGCACATCATCCGGGAAGGGAGGATGGCTGGCCGTTGCACGGTGCATCCTGCATCCTTTAGGAGCAGGGTCTAGAAGACAGCCTCACGCCGCTGAGACAGCTCAGTCCCTGAGCAGGGACAGGGACGCCAGAGTCCCCGGGCACAATGCCCAAGCAGTCTAGTTGGAGAGGCAAAGGTTAACAAGACTCACTCATAATAGGGAAGTTTTATTGCCGGACAAAGGGCATTTGGGGGAACAAGAAATTAATTCCAGCTAGGGGGTTCAGGGGAAGCAAGTTTTGAGCTAGGCCTTGAAAGATGGGAAGAGTTTCCACACTAGGCCCAGTGGAGGGCCCATCACAAAGAAAGGACTGCATGAGTGAAGATTTGGGACAGAGATGGGCCGAAGCATCCAGAAATGGTCAGTCTGGTGTGGCTAGAAAGAAGGATACATCTCAAGAGAGAGGCTAAAAGATTGGCCTAGAAGAATCAGCTAGGATCTTGACTGCCATGCTAAGAATCCTGGGCTTTGATCTAGAGGCAGTAAAGAGCTAATTCCTAATTTTGAGCAGGATACTCAGGGTGAGAATCTGTTTGTAGGCAGGAGTATGGGGGGGACTGGCAGTTGAGCAAGTCCAGAGGCAAGGTGAGCACCTAAGGAGGGTTTTCCAGTGTCCAGGTGAGAGGGGGTGCTGACCAAGGGAGGAGGCAGATGGCCTCCCATCTGGTCTCCAACTGGTTAAGAAAAGGAGTGATCCAAGTCTGGTTTCTGGGGAAGATGGTGACGCCACTAGTTGGATGCTGATGAGATACGAGGAGTTGGGGGAATGATGAATTATGGCTAGGGCAAACCCGCGAGTTGACCAGCAAGCTATTGAAAAACAGGGTTCGTTAAAGCTTTGGAGAAAGGCCGAGCAGGAGGGCGCGGCCTGGGAGATGGGTGCACAAGGTCATAGTTGAAATTGTGGGAGCAGATCGGTCACCCAAAACGGGAAGCAAGATCAAAAAAGAGTGTCGCAGGGGCAGGAGGAAGAGGCGGCGATCTTTAGGGCTGGCCTCCCTGAAGGCCTCGAGGGTGTGGCGGGCAGCCTGTGAGCTCCGAACTCCTGGTTGAGTGCAACGAGAGCACGAAGAGGGCGTGCACATCAGTGGACGTCAGTGATTTGGGTCTCCGTTGGGGGAACGGTTCCTGGGTAAGGTGTCTGTGAAGTTGAGGCAGAGGAAGAGGTGGGCGGGAGGAGGAAGGTGACAATGTTGGCTGGAACTTGAGGGGAAGCAGGTCAGGGAATGGAGGCTTGAGGAGTTTCTTGTATTTCAGAGTAGCCAGTGTGCCCTTGAGCCCGGTGGTAGTTCCAAGATGTGGAGAGAGGTGGCTGTGAATTCGAAGATGAGAGAGGACAATGGATACAGTGGGTCTCCAGAAAGAGGAAACAGGAGGGAAGCGACTAGAGCCAAGAGGAGAATTAGTTGTGAGGAGGAGGGTGGTGGCTGGAACTTCTGGGCAGGGGGTCGGTGTCTCGGCTCCCTCCTGAGACTGGGGGCTCTCTCAGCCCCACCCTGTCTGAGGCTCACTCCTGTCAGGTGACCAGGTCTTGGCACCCAAGCCTGCAGCAGGACTCTCCCTTCGTTCCTGCTCCCCAGCACCCCGCCTTCTCACCAGTTCCCACCCACCCCATTCTTGGGATTTAATTCTCAAGTCCAGGGCAGGAAGTATTTTAACGGCTTGCAGTTAAAAAAAAAAAAAAATCGAGAGCTCTAAATAATTCCCTAAATGGGGATTATTGAAACGCCTTGAAGATATGCTCTTTATAGTATTGTTTAAAAATAAATCTGAATCCTGGACTGGATGCTAGAAGTTGCGTACTCCCTACAAGCCTGACCGGAGCGCAGGGGTGAGTAAACCCTGGGACGTCCACCAGCCGAGTGGGGAGGCCACCTTGGTTCTGGGTATGAACCAGCGCCCTGGAAATGGAGGCCACTATCACCGTTACCACTGTGCAGCCATGAAAACATTTACGCAAAACGCGAAACAGTCAGAAGAGGCTTCAGATGAAAACCTAAGCAACACAACAATACATCCAATGCTGTTTATATTATAGTCACGAAATTCAGCCGGCACAACGACAAAAAACTAAAGGCAATGGACCAAAGTGCTTCATGGTCATTATCTTAGGTTGGATGAGATTCTAGGGGAATGATTTTCTTCTCCTTTGTATTTCCCCAAAATTCTGTAATAAGCGTGTGTTGCTTTTAAATTTCTTTTTGAAGTATAACACACATATGGACAAGTGCACAAAAATCAAGGTCCAGCTCAGTTGTAGCAAAGCAGATCAAGGATTAGAATTGCCAGCACTCCAAGAGCCCCCCTCCTGCTCCCTCCCAACCCCCTGTCACTTCCCCCTACCTCCCCCTCTCCAAAGACAACCCGTATCCTGACTTCTCTCTCCATAGTTCAGTATCACCTATTTTTGAACTTTGTGTATGGAAACATTTGTATGTATTGTTTGTGCCTAGATCTTTCACCCAACATTGTGTTTGTGAAGTTCAGCTGCGGTCTTTCATTTTTATCTCTGTACAGTATTTCATTCTATATCTATATCATTACATATAGATCTCACATATATACATATACACATGTATCTCACACTCTTCTTTTTAAAGTAGACTCTGTGCCCAGTGTGTGGCCTCAACTCACACCCCCAAGATCTAGAGTCGCACGCTCCACTGACTGAGCCAGCCGGGCGCCCCTGTATCTCACAATTCTTGTGTCCGTTTCCACCTTTGGTAGACATTTAGGTTGTTTGGGGCTGTTAGAAATAATGCATCTGAGATTCTTATACATGTCTCTTGATATAGATGTGCATG